ATATTTTTATATATAATAATATGAGTTTTTTCTGATTGTCTTTTATATAACATGTTCAAAATTAACAATGATGAAAAAAACATTGCAAGAAATAAAAAAATTTAATTATTCTTTGACTATCACTATCTTTGTTTTCAAAAACTCTTTTAATACACCTACTTTATGAAGGGTAGAATAAAAATGGTACTAGAGTTGAATCTGAGGGACATAAAGTTTCCCCACAGAATATATATTCCATATATAATAAGATACAAACCACAGAAAAAAACCTGAATTTTAACTTCCCTGCATTTTATGTAATAATTCAGACATGGGCCAAATATCTGCCAAATATGTTATTCAAGCTTGCAACATATTTAATTTTCTTGCAAAAGTATATGGCCATAGCAAACCATTCAGTAAGCTTTCATATCTACATTACCTTTAAAGGTTTTATTAATGGGATCTCTCTCTAACCTATTCAAATATAGTTGGTGTAATCCAGGATTTTTTTCTTAATTTTTCTGATCTGTGAGACCTACAGAATTTTTCACATAGAAAAGAAAATATATGTAAAACTAGAACCCAAAACAGAATTATGATCCTACTTTCAAACTCCGTTTTCATTTTACATCTCTTTTAGGGTCAGCAGTGATGGTTACATTTTATTGCAGAAAAAAACCCCAGCAAATGGGCAATTTACTAAAGAAGAAAACCTAAGGAGAGTTACAAAACTACTTGGAAATTCAGATACATTTCTTGAACAGCAAGTTCTTATTTTCCTCTAAAGAGAAGGAAAACAAAGCAACCCATTGAGCACCTTTCAATGCATATGATAGAAAAGAAGAAATCTGAACAAGTCGAGATAAGAAACTAAATTGCTGTGTGCCTGTTTCTTAAAATTTCAATATCTTCACAAGTAAGAAAGAAAAAACAAAAAAAAAAAAAAAAAAAAAAAAGAGAGGAAATTTTATCCCCCTGTAGCTGAGGTACAGTATCTCCCACAACCAAAATGCCAAGGGGAAAACCTGTCCAATGACGAGCTCAGACCACAGCAAGGTCACATCTGAGGTGACAAAACTCAGATAACATAATGGCTTTGAATAGGTCAATGTAGCAGAAAGAACATTATATCTCAGATGAACTGCAACAAATGGGACAGATCCCAGATCTAACTGGGGTCATGTTTCTAAATGTAACCAGATAATGTACCAAGCAGTGTTAATGGAAAGGCACAGCTCTTTTTGCCCTGTGGGTTAACTACAATAACTTTTGCCACTTAGATCAGTGATACCTTGATGCTGTAATTACTCACTGCATGTGTCGGTCGATATTTGCACTGTGCTTATTTACTGCCCACTTTCTGGTTGGAAAGCTGCTGTGGAAATTGCAGATGGCCTGTAGTGTTGGAAATAAGTCCGTGTAATTTTTTCTTTTGCTATTTTAGAGGAGCAAGCAGTTTTTCAGCTTTGCTGTATCTCTACAGCTGTCTGAGCCTGCAGAATCATGAACATAGAGAAACTATATCTGAATTTTGCTGAAACTTAATAATTACTCTACTGTTAAATATACAGCATGTACAGATTCAGAGATAGATCAGGGGTAAAGGGAAGGAGTGGAGGACAAAAATTCGAAATTTTCTTACCTCAGAGTATAAAACTGTTCATTACATGGATGAAAGTTTTCTAGAAAAAGAAATTCTGGCCATTTGCTCTGGATATCTTGGCCATGAATAAAACTAAAGATCAAGAGGTTCACTGTCTAAACTTCAATTCAATACTATGTGACCTCCCCCCCCAAGCAAAGCAGACAAGTAAAATTATATCCATCAATGTGTCTTCTCCTTTTTGGAGGTCCAGAGGACATGGAAAAGTTTACAGTATTGAATAATAATATCATGTTGTTTATGCTTCTTTCATGCCAGAGAAACACTGTGTGCATGTAAATGTTTCTCTTGTAGTCTAATAAGCTTTGGGGTATCTTTTTGCATAATATTTTCACAGGACCTCTTTCAGAGAAGTTGTAGAAGCTTCTGACTCAATTTCTAGGATCCTAAATACTACAAAGAAAAAAATTGCCAACTCATCACTTGCATAGATTTTAGATTATTAAGAAGGGATGCATCAGAAGGTGAAACATTTTGGTCTCTGCTTTAATTTATGCTAGAACCAGTCAATGTGTACCAGCTAACAAAAACTTCTACTGATTTTCTTCACTATTGTAACGTTTCTGAACTCAGATTTCAAGACTTGACATCCAGAAGCATTTCTCATTTCCTGTTATGGACTGTCAAATAAGAAAAATAATGGGAATAGATGTCATACATGCAAGGACATAATTTCTCTTGCTATTAAATAATTTTGTTTCTGTTTAGTCTTAATTCTTAACATGTATGAAAAGCAATTATTGTTACACTTATAGATATGTTTTGACTACAAGGTTACAAGAGGGAGTGACAAAGACTTTTTTGAAATTATAAAAGATTGATGTTATACATTTGAAATAGCCAGCAATCCTTCTTACTCCTATAAGTATTAATAGTTTTTTGTTGCATTTAATTTTTCAAAGCTTACATTCAACACATTATGTCATGCTTTGAGAACAAAAGATTGATAAAGCACTAATGAGTAGTTTATTAAGAAATAATATTCGTGGACAGCATAAAGGATCTTGCAGGTATTACAGAAAACACTTCCAATAAAATGCTGTCAACTCTTCACTATAGTGAGTTTAAAATAGCTGACATTGTAATATGACCTGCCATAATAGGTCTATTCCAAACGAATGGCTAAAGTAATAGAGATTGAAAATGGAGTAGTTGCCCAGTCTCTGCAAGTATTATTTTTTTTGGCACTGGATGACATTTTGAAGAATGTTTGCATTTTGGAACTAAAATGACTTTTCTTGCCTGTAGCCAGCTGACTTGGCCCAGAGCTGATGGGCAAAAGGGGCACTCAGGAAGTTATCTCATGGCACTCTTACTGCAACATTGATGCAGAGGGAACTTGCAGTCCAACAAAAACAAATAATACATTACTTTTATGCATATTTGAACTGTGTGCAATTTGGTGTTTTACAAAGAGACTTGTCAGATTGTCATAAACAAACCAAATACCAGTAACAGCACGTTGCCCAAGTGTCTCTTTTAGCTGAATTTAGTGTATGACAGAGATGCAAATCGCGCTGTTCTTCACAAGCAAGAAGCTGTGAGAAGGGCACTTTAACACGACAGCTAAACTGAAGGGACACAAGGAACTATTACAACTGCAATTTATCTGAATCATGAATGAAATTACAATTAGCTCTTGGGAAAATTGTTGACAAAACCTCTGCATCAGATGCGCTAACTCATTAAAATCAGAACCATTTGTCTTAACAAGTTTTTTGGGAAAATTGCTTAGATCCAGGATGGATTTCCTCACTAACATAAGAGAAAGAAGTCAGAAAAATCCATAACCCAGTGGTTAATAAGTCAGCTCACTGACCAGATGAGCCAAAATTGCAGTAGTGGGACCATCACATGGAAATGGCACAAAGGAGTCTGAAGCTTTGAATCAACCGTGATCAACATTTATCTGCTTTTACAAAACATTGAAATAAAATATTTTCACACCAATAAACAATCTCTCATTCTAATGAAAGTAAAAGAATTACTATTATTTGAATGAAAAGGACATTTTCTTTCGGAAAAGGGGAAATGGAATTCTGTTCCAGTCAGCCACAAGGAATTTGTGGATTCTAAATGTATTAATGAAATAAGTTGAAGGAATAATCAAATGTGATTCCATCTTAGGATTTTTCCTATGTGTTAAGTGACAGAACACTGTGTCTTTGTGCCATCATACATGATGGCACAGGTCATCCTCCTAAAAATTCTAGAATTACCAAGGAATCATATGTCTGCATGAATTCTTTATGTAATTTCTACAAGTTATGATGTATTTTGTTAAAGAGAGTGGCTGAGAGGACAAGTGGAAAGATAGCCTCTATTCTCATTCTGAAAATTTATTTTGGATAAAAAGTTTTACAAAGCAGAGGAAAAAGGACTATTCCTCCTAGGAATAACTGTAAAAGCCCAAAGTAGTGCAAATTACCCACTGAACAACGCAGCTGGTTCTGCCTCAACAAAACCTGGAAACTTGTGAAGTGTAGAGGTCTGTCTTCCAGTGCATGGATTTTATGGCCCCAGAGATGGCCATAAGAATATTTTCCAAGGTGTTCAGGAGACTGAGCAGAGTTTTTCACACCCAGAGAATCACCATGCAATACATGGTGAGCAAGCTTGGGAGAAAGTTCTAATGATGCAAAGGGAGGGGTAAGCTTAAGGAGTAGAAAGCCTTTAGTGGGTTTTTGGAGAAAAAGTGGACAGATCATCAAGTCAGTTTTAAATAATAATTTTTAATTTTATGATCAACTAATACACTTAAGGAAATCCCTATCCCCTTTAGAAGTGCTGATCATCCTATTCTCATATTTGACCAATTAACATATCTCTTTTGATTGAAATTAAATATGTATTGCTCTAGATATTGATAGATATCTAGACAGAAAGATTGTTCTACCTCTCAATTACTTTAATAAAAGTCTGCATTTGCCCTCGCAAATCTTACTTCCCTCCCATCGTTAGCTGTTTTACCTTCTTGGTGAAGCATTCCCTTTTCACTGTGTTCCCCCAGGTACCACTGTATCTCCCACCTACCTCATGTTCCTGTGACTCCTGCAACCCAGACAGTAAATATTGCAGGGTTTTTCCACCCCAAGATGTCCATGTCCTTATAAGCAATACATGTGCTAAGGAGAAATGCTTTTTATTTATCATATTGTGTATTTTTATATCATCCAGGAAATCACCTACCATTGAACTGACTCTGAATTCATCTGTTTACATGGAACAAAAAACTTTCCAAAGTTAGGGTGTAGCTCTGTGAGATCTTGCAGTGAAGATGAAGAATTATGTGGCTCAGTTTGGCAAACTTCACCCTCTGAACTGACAGCAGTACATCCTGGTAGACGCTGTGAATTTGAAAGTGTGAAACGAGATCAGCAAGTCTTCAGCATTTGTCAGGGCTTACTCAAAAGCAGTAGCACCTCTACTGTTTCAACATTTTCATATTCAAAAGAAATAGAGTTTTAATATGTCTGAGCATCCACAAATCCTTCTCTGAATACAGTAGATAATTTTTACATGGAATAATATTAAATCTTCCTTATCTTTAAAGAGTGTACACTGTATAGCATTCAATTTTCTGTATCTTTCTTTAGAAAAAATGCTGATATAAAATTGTTCCATATTGAAAATCTGTTTGCCCTGATGGTATCAACGCATTGTATAACCTTGAAATACCTCCCATCACTGCCATAGTATAATGTTTATTTGCACATTAAAAATCTGTTTTACAGTTTTTTCCCATGTACATACCACACATAAATAAAATATTCATTTAAATGTCACCCAACATATGTCTAAGATAGCAAACATTCCAAAAGAGATAGTGAAAATGACATTATGATTACTTTAAAACAGCATCATAAACAGACATTACTGTAGCTAGAAATGAATCATACAAGAAAATAAAGTTATAATAAAATACACAATCATTATAAATCAAATTATATTTTCTTCTGTGGAAGTTGTTCTATTATTTGCTGTGCTCAATGAAGAAACAGTAAATAATGTGAAATCTAGGCGTAAATACGCAGTTTATTCTATATTCCATTATTAAAATATATTAAAGATTAGAAATGGCTGTATACACTAGTTCTCTGTTATCTATACCTTTCTGCTCTTCAAGATGTATTCTCTTTCTCACCAAAACATATTGCAATGTTTTCCACTTTTCTATCCCATACAGATAGGGATGTCCTATGTCTTCTGATCAGGGTGGAACACTGCCCCAAGGCACATGTGCCCCAGCTTGTGCTGCCCGAGTCATTCCGCTACACTCTGTTCCTCAAAGTGAGTCAGAAATACTTTTTCCATCTCTTCTTGTGAACCAACATCAAATTCCCTTTGGAGTTCCTTGTGGACTGCAACTCCCACCCTTTGTTCTGTCTTGCTGCCCATTGCCTCCCCTGCATGGCCAGGTCACTCCATCCTCTCAGCACAGAGCTTCTCTCCAGGTAGAACGGCACTGCTGTCACTTGGGGATCTCTCCAGGCAGCACTGCTGTAATTTTGGGATCTCTCCAGGCAGCACTGCTGTACTGTCACTCTGGGATCTCTCTGTGCAGGACTGCACTGCTGTCACTTTGGGAGCAGACTGAGCAGGGTCACCACATGTCATTCACAGCTCCAATACCTCCTAACCTCAAGGGTTTTGAAGGAGTGAAAAGGAAAAACTAGGCAGCTCCTCCAATGAGGCTGTCTGGTGGCTGGGAAAGGAGTAATATCAAGGCAGGGGCACTGGAGAATGCAGTGTTGCAGAGGGAAGGTCTGGGGGAAAAAAAAAAAAAAAGAGGGAGGAATAACAGGGAGGATAGAGGGACAAGGAAAACAAAAACACAAGAATGAATACTAAGATACAAAAAAGCAGAAGAAACCATTTCCTGGTGGGAAAAGATTGTCAGTGATTTCATGTCACATCAAATGTAGATATTATTCCAGTATGCAAGAACCAACAACAAAATTTATTCTATAGTTTGTCACCTCTTTGTACTTTTGTCATTTCAAAGAACTAGCTTGTAGGAATAGATAGCTGCACATCTTTTCTTCCCTGCTTGACATCACAGCCTTTAAATGGAATGATCCTTTCCAGTTCCTCAAGATCAAAATTTTCATCTCCCTTCACAGAAGAGTGCAGTAGCCATAAGCAGCAACTTTGTTTCTCCTTCTGTTCTCCCCATTTGACTTTCTGGCTTCATCCACAGTACCTGGTATGGCAACAGAATATCTCAGATGCTGGGTACACATCTGGTCTCCTGGAGGGGAACTTCTGTCCTGCTCCTGTCCACCCTGTCAGACACTCACTCCAGCTGACCCTCAAAGGTACATTGTCTTTATTGCATGAGTAGAGGATATCCAGACAACATTAATTCTCAGAATTTTGAGTGTCTTTGTTTATTCTGTGTGGTTTAATGCTTTGTAAATCAAACTGAATTCTAGATTATTAAGGACATAAAGATGCAATATCCCTTTCCAGTACAGCAGTTAATCAGGCTAAGAGACAACCTCATGCATAATCTCTGTATTACTGATAAAATATTGACACAAATGGATGGCATTACAAAATGGTCTAATCCTTTAAAAGGCTGAGTGCCCTGAGAGATGCACAGCAGACTCCACTCCAAATGAAATTAGTGAGCCTCTGAGACCCAGCACTTCACAGGACCAAATTCTTTAACTATGTTAAAAATTCTTTCTACAAAAATAGTAATGAAAAAACCCCTAACAACAAACCCTTCTCATTGTGCCAATGCAAATGAGTAACACATTGGCAACAATGCACATGTAGAAGTCTGTGAGGCAACAGAAACAAAGGGTGTAATTAAGGATAAATTGCTGTAGAGAAACCAAGGGTTACACTGCAAATTGCTTACTCTGTGGCCAGTCTTCTGAAATTAGCAGTACTACCCATGGGGATGAATATTCACTAGTTCACCTGAAGCTGAGGATGTATGAGACATTCTTTCCTAGGAGACCATACTCCTGCTTTTTCCTGAATCACTTCCAGTGTCAAGCTTCTCTCCCTGTTGTGCCAGCATATATATTTGTGTGGCTCCACAGTCACTTGGACTAACAAATTCATCTCTTTAGGGTGAACAGAGAACTAAACATTTTATTTAGGGATAGATCCAGGGCCCTGGAACACCTCTTGTCTTGGTTCATTGTGTGAACAGCTGTTTTGGCACCAGCGAGAGGATGGGAAGGACCGAAGTTGTAGATCCACCAATTTTACAGTCATCTTTGGATAAAATTGTTGAAAAATGCCAAAAATCCACTTCCACTGTCCACTCTTCCTCTTCTTGCACTGCCAAGCATACATCCCACTTTCACCTTTGTGAGAACAGCTCCTTCTAGGGGTATAGTTAGATTACAATAGGGATAGGAGCCTAGCCAGGAGCAGTGCTTTGGCAGGAATCTGAAAACACCTGGGAAAATGAGGGAAGGAGTGGAAGGTGAGAAATGCCCAAGTTGGCCATAGCAGTACGGATGCTCAATGTAAAACAATGCACCCTGTCTGGCTTTATAGCTTGACTCTAAATTATTCCTTTGCATTCATCTTTAGCACAAAAATTGTTGCAATAGATTTCTGTCAAGGAACTTCTCTTTCAGGAAATTAAAGGGAAATTTTACTCTTCTACTTCAATTTCTCCTAAGGCGTTGCTGTAAAAAATTCAAATTGTAATTAACAAAACATCAGGAAACACATCTCCAGGTTTCAGCAATATGTGTTCCACAGCTGTGGGATAATAAATTGTTCACACTACTAACTGAAATATTCAATTCTTAAAATGGTGTTTATTACCAGGAGTTAATGTGCACAAAGTACTGTTTCTGTCACATAACACAGGTGTGAAACATACTGTCCCAGGGTAGTATATAGCTCAGAAGTTTAGGAAAATATTCAGAAACTGATGAGGCATTTCTCACAGCATATTATCAGTAACTTGCAATTACTAAGAGGAAAAAGGACTTTCTAGAAAAATTTTAAGTCTGAAAACCAAAACTAACAGTAGTATACCAGTCAGCAACAAAAAACATTATAAGATTTCAGACCTTGAAATCTCTTTCTCATGGCAGCTCAGTATTAGAACTATCTTGGATTAAGAAATACACCTTCTGGCACATCCGTAGGTCATTACATGCAGCATACTTTAGATGACAAAGATTGGTGAACTTAAGATTCTAAAAATTCTTCAAGTCAAACACACTGTCTTTTGATAATTTGTTATCTTACAGAGACAGCTCAAGGCTCAGTGCTTCCATTGGATAAAAATGTAACCCTTTGGCCTGAAAAATCCAGCTGTTGCTCAGATAAGTATGTCCTGTATACAAGGATAGTCTTTTGTTGTTACTGCTGATAAGGAGGCAGTGCCCTAGAGGATAGGCAAAGCATTGGAGAGCAAAATTCTTTTAAGGAAAAAAAAACCCCAGCACATAAAAACTCAAAAAACTTTTTGTTCTTTTGAGCACTTTATTCTGCAGTTGTTCAGATCAGACACTCGTGCATCTTACCCTGAAGGGTCTGGTGCTGGCTACTGTCAGGGATTGGGCACTCACTCACAGCAATCCTTAAAGAACTAATGGAATATCAAAAATTAGTGTTTCATGTATGATATAACCTGAGGGACTATTTTAAACATTCAAGCATATCTGTAGTTTCTACACCATCTGTTATATAAAAATGACAAACCTGAGAGAGACTTATGCCTCTTTACAGAAGCAACAGGAGACTTCTGAAGGTCATATTATCCCTAATGCCTTTTCAGAGCTTCTCATAGCTTTGGTGGGATGATCCAAACTTCAAGGGCAAATTCTATGTCCTAAATTATCTCATAAATCTCCTATTATTGCCACAAATACAACCTCCAGTTCAATTATTTCAATATTACATGATAATTCTCTCAAAAGATTGCATCTAAAAAAATAAGAAAATAGTACAAGAAAAATCAAAACCATTGATCTTTTTACTACAGATTATGAGCATATCTCTGAAGTGAAGTGCTTTACTTTTTTGCAGGTAGTTATTCATGCTGCCTTTGGAATTAATGGGCTGCACTTGTGGTCTCAGGATGCTCATATTTCCTGTAAGGATGATGACTGCCTGCTATTACACACTACTGTAATACTCAACCTTCAGCAAGTCCACATCTTTATTTAGCTACTTCAAGCTCATCTCTGATGTGCTTGAGTGCACTCTGCTGTATGCCTTGATCCATCTGCCCTCTGCAGACCTGGAATAGCCTCACTAGGATCCAAGCACACCTGGACTGAACTGGGCCTCACCCCTTATCATCCTCAGCCATTTACTCTGCCCCACAGTCCTTTTACACCTCCTTCACACACAACTAGGGGCCAAGGCAACCCACACATCTTTCAGCTGGAGCTATAGTCTGCCAATCAATTGAGGGGAAGGGAGAGGAAAGCCTTTTCTCTGATTTGATTCATGATGCTCTTCTGAAAACCAAATGAATGTCCTTCTGATCTACTTTCAGTTCGGAGCCTCAGCACCCAGTATCCCATTTACTTGGATGGTTCACAGAGCTCTGCTCCCAAAACCCTATATAAAATCAATATTTTTTGTTAAATACAAAAGATGGTTGCATTTGGGAAAGTGTCTAACAATTGTCTGCCTACTTGTAAAGCCAGTGATTTGAATTATCTGAAAGGCTACTTATTCACCATATGTTAGAGCAGAGGATTATCCTGAATACATGGGTAGACAGACACTTGCATAGTCAATATCCATTCCTTAAAATCCTTAGATTATAAAATGAAGGTAGCATTTACATAAAAAATAATATTTTTGCTGGAATATTTAGATCCCAGTTTATTTACTGTTTTCCCTCAAACATGAATTTTTCTGTTCAATAAATGAAAATAATGCCAGTTATTTCAGAGGTAGCTATATACTCATCATATCAGAATTCAGTTTGAATAGAAACTGACATATATTTTGTAATTTCAAATAATAATTACTAATTTTTCAAAGAAATTATAATGCAAATGTACTTGCTGAATGTGAAAGATACCATTACTTGAGGGGACCAGAAAACAGTCTTCAAAGATGAACACATACGGTAAATCTACCGTTTGTGTTTTTAGCATAAGAGCATGTGAACTACTAGACCCAACTGATTAATACAAGAGAAAGAAATGCAGTTATTTCTGAGAAATAACTAAAGTTGTTTTGAACCACATTTGAGAACTACATTCAGTTTCAGTAACTCTGTAATTATTTCCCTGAGAAAAGGTACATTTTGGGGATTTTATTTTCTTTTAAAGATAGTAGGTAAAGAATGAGGAATGCATTTGATGTATTCTATTTGGGGAAAAATCATGGAATCAGAGAGTCATAGAATGGCCTGGGTTGGAAGGGACCTTAACGATCATCCAGTTCAAGCCCCTTGGAAAGGGACACTTTCACTAGACCAGGTTGCTCAGAGCTCTGGACAACCTGGCCTGGAATACTTACTTCCAGGGATACAACATTCGCAACTTAAATGGAAAAATAAAATTTATCCAATAAACAACAGGGAAGTACTATAGCCATATCAAATTCATCTGCTTATGAACAGGATACAAGAAAGAAAATGTTAAATATATAGGCAGATATAATCCCTGATTTTGAAAAATATAGGAACACACATACATGTTGTGAAAATTGTGGAACAAAATTACAGGATATTTAAATCACATCTATAATCCTGGGATCCAGCCTGGGGAAAAATATATATCTCACTTAAATTAGTCTTTCCAGGTTTCTCAATGCC